AGAGGCAGCACATTGCTTTGGATTCAGATAGAGATCCCTGTTGCTTTATCCCTAACCCTCTCTCTACCCCTTCCCTGCAAAGCTGCTTCCCTGCAGCTGTTTCCTCTTCTCATGCATCTGTCTTTCTAGACTACAAGGAGGTAAATATTTAGAGCTAAAGATCAAGATCCAAACATTTCCATACAAGGTAAGGCAGTTGCACAGATTTGGAAATTTCTGTTGACGAAGAAATACACCTCCTTTCCCTCTTAGCAAGTCTGGAAATAAATCTGGAACGCTATTTGTTGTCTGTAGTGGCTGCTACCTGCCTCCCTGAATTTCACACTTCTCCCACAGATGGCAAGTCCTCAGACCTTGTCGAATATTATAGTCATCTGGGGAGCTTTAAAACAGTTGTTCCCTGGGACCACCCCTGAAGGAGGAGAATCACGGCTGCATATATTTAAATATTCCTTAATTTTACTGGGTGCACACATTTGATGGCCAGTGCCCTAGGTCAAACTAGATATCTACCTGTAGGCTAAAAAACCCAGTCCTTCCTAGTACTTCTTCACATCCAATCAATCAACTACAATGGATAGAGCTATATTCTGAGTGAATTTCTCAATCTCCATTTCTCCTTTTCATATTCACTACCACTCTCTGGAACATTGCTTTCTGGTGAAATGATCAAAATCAGAAGCAACCATTTCAAACATTCTCTCTTGGTTTAAAGACACCTGAGATTTAACAACTGCAGAAACAAAATCTTCACTGAGGTTTCTTTTTTAACTAAAAGCTGCAACTTCCTGAACTAAAAGTTCCACATATTCTTTATCAACGATGAATGAAATTGCCCTCAAGTCTCTTCTCCGGGGAATGCTATGTGTTCAATAAAGGACTAAAGACTCCTCATATCCACATAGGAAAACTCCACAAACGTTCTCAACTTCTGAAAGCTGTTAAGATTATTTATTCTTTTGTATATGCCTTTACCTTTCTCATGTCACCCATTCAGAGGTGGAAGATACGTACCACATTCTAACCATTGCCAATGATCTGCTTATAAAATTTACATAATAAATAGTCTTTTTCTATTAATTTGTCTTTTATTAATTTAATTTGAAGACTTTGACCTAAACAGAGAAAAGAGGAAGTTTTCCCTGTCCCACACTGGGACATTCTAGTACTTATCTTTTCTTCTGATCTTCCTATTCCTATTACTTGATTATCATCACTATCAATAGGAGTCTGAAAAAGTGTTCCTCTTAAGCTCAGGTATCCAAACACTTTCTCTGGTTGATGGTGCCATTTGAAGAGGTGGTAGAATATTTGAGAGAGGAGACTTGTTAAAGGAAGTGTATCACTAGGATAAGACTTTAAGAGTTTGCAACCTCACACACTTGCAGTTCAGTAACTACTTTCTGTGTACAGATGGAGATGAGATGTTTCAGTCTCCTGTTTCAACTACATATTTTCATGCCTCACCCACCATTGTAGTCTCTTCTTCTGGTACTATAAGTCCAAATAAAGTTCTTTCTATGACTCACATGAAGTTTTTTCACAGTCACAAAAAATATCATATATAGAAGTTGGTACATTGGAGGGGGCTGTTGCTATAAAATAACTGGACTGTGTGTTTTGGAGAAATGTGTAAGACTTTAGAATTTGGAACTGGAAAGGTGGTTGAATGCTAAAGCTGAGCCCACGAGGCAGTTCTAATAGGAGATAAGAGAACAGTAGCAATGTGGACAAAGGTGTCTCAGAGGGAAGAAACATCCTTAGCAGCAACTTGCTAAAGGTCATCAATCTAATAGTCACAAAATTTGATTGTTTTCTTCTCATGTCCTGAGAATTCATGAAAGCCTGGTTTAAAAGTACTAGATCTATTTCTTGATGGAGGAAATTTCAAGAGAGCATACTGTTGTCTGTGGAATGGTTATTACTAATACCTCATATATGGGTTTCAATGAAAAGGAGCAAGTGAGAAAGAAAAAAAATATAAAATGTACAGTTTGGAGGAAAAAGGAGCATAAGGAAGATTAATGTAACAGCAAAGGCATATGCTGAAAAAGAATTGTAACTTCAAAGGAGATTAGTGCTATCCAGGTAAGATCTCTCGTTTTGCACTTGAGCAATGGAAAATTTGCTCTCACAGTAAGATCCCATCCAACTAAGTTTACAACTTGTGAAAGAAACGGGTCTATGGGATTTTCTGTTTCTGTAAACCAATAGTATACAAAAGCCTTTTCAAATGTGATCCAACAGACTGGAGGTCCACCTTGAGCTTGCAGTCAAACTTGGATCTGTATCTGAATTGTATTTGAAAAAAAAAAAGTAAGTAAGGACATGGCTAGTCCTAGGTATGATGGAGGAGAAAGTTTATGGTAGACAAAAGGGAGACATAGCCGGAGACAAACATCTTAAAAACAGTGATGACATGACCTTGAGCTATGTGAGGAGAGGAAGGGGGGAGGGAGAAGGGAGAGGCTGGAACCATGTGTAGCTCCCTAGAAGGTCAAAGGTAAGAAATGGACAGGTCTAAATTATGTAGGCAATAGCCTCTGGGGGAAGGGCAGACAAACCACTGGGCTGGAGAGCTCAGGATAGAAGGCAGGGTATGCCAGCCATACCCTGTAACCAGTAGGGAATGAAGGATGTGAGAGAACATGGCAGCCACATCTGCTTTGATACATTATAAAGGGTTTAAGCCTTAACAATATTGACTACGAAGGCATGAAAGATTCAAGAATGAGGAGCTAGTAGATTCTTCCTCTGAAGTTACGGGGAGATGAGTCCAGGGAATGTATGGTAGTGGAGTTCTTCCAGGGAATATATGGTGGTGGAGTTCTTTTATGAGGAGACTAAGAAGCCATTGCATGAAACCATTAAAATGAATCCTGAATTTCAGAGACAATCCCAACTTCTTGGGCATGGCCAAACCGGGAAACATCTGCTGAGGGGGGATGAATACAAGGAATGGAACCAGCCTAAGAGAAAGCTCTTTTGTAGGCAGCAGAGCTAGAATGACTGGATATTCTACATTGTGCAGGAAAGTTTTATGTAAACTTGACACTAGCTAAAGGCATTTGAGAGGAGGTAACCTCAGTTAAGAAAATGCTTCCATAAGATTTGGCTGTTAGCAAACCTGTTGGGCATTTTCTTAATTAGTGATTGATGTGGGGAGGGCCCTGCCCATTGTGGGTGATACCATCTCTGTGCTGATAGTCCTGGTGTCTATAAAAGAACAGGCTGAACAAGCAGAAGGGACGAGCCAGAATGTAGCACTCCTCCATGGCCTCTGTATCTGCTTTTGCCTCCAGGTTCCTGTTCTGCTTGTGTTCCTACACTGACTTCCTTGAAAGATAAACAGTGATTTGGAAGTATAAGTCAAAAATCCCTTCATCTCCAGTTTGCCTTTGGTCATAGTGTTCTGTTACAGCAATAGAAACTCTACTTAAGACACATGACATTTGAAATTAAAGTCTGAGAGTTGGACTTTAATCCTAGTGGAGCTACAGGATGTTTATTTGTCCTTTGGGTAAATTTTGTTTGGATCTGAATGTGGAAGCACAGAAAAATTTTCATTCCTATGGAATGAAAACTGTGAGCCTTGTGCCCATATTGATATGCAGACAGAAAACCATTAGTCAAAGATCCCATGCTTTGCATGGTTCCTATCATTCAATAGTGGTGATAAAGCTGTTTATGGCAGCTTTGTGCTGAATAAGGTAGTACTATGTCTGCCAGTGATGAAAATGGCTGGCCGGGTGAAAATATTGTTTTCCTTCTTTCTTGTGATGCCTTCAAACATAACTCTCTGTTCCAGAGAATGTCCTTTTGCTGTCTGTATCCTATATTTATTTGTTAAATTCCACAGTGCTTTCTTCACTTCCTCTCCTGCCAGTCACTGGCAGGAATGCAATGTGATGCTGACCCTCCACTAGCATTCCCTAGGCTGTAATACTGAGATTCTTTGCAGCTCAGATCACTAGTGTGAAGATGCTGAGTAGATATTCTGCATTCCCATGGAAAGTAGCCAGTGTGCTTTTAACTAATAGAGGGGGAAATGGCAATAAGAAAGACAGTGGCAATGGCACCAAGTGTTCTCCCTCATGTGAGGACTGAGACAATCAGGGTACTCCCACAGATAACCCATGCAATTGAGAGGGTGGGTTTCCATGAGTCATAAAGTGTCAGCCTTGGGTACTATGTGCTAAGGCAGAAGCTAAATCTTTCCCCATTCTGTGCCACCAGTAGGCAGCTTTTGAGCTTTCTTATTTCCAGTAATTCTTTTCTAAATCATTCTTCCCTAATAAGTGTAATTATATTGTTTATTAAGTTAGATCAGAAATAGTAACTAAAACAACAAAACCCTTCCTGAGTACACTGAAACTTTTGCTAGGGGGTGTTTGTAGGATGATTGAAATCATCTAGAGTCATTAAATAGCCAAACCAATGTGCCCCCCCCCGGCAAAAAAAAAAACAGTGAAAACTGTATTTTACCACCTAACTTAGTGACTGATTTGAAAAATGCATCTTGGAAATTTTGTGGAAAAATTGTAGGGTAAAGGGTCAGCCAAAGAAACTACCTTGGCCTTGAAACCAGAGTGCCCCCCCCATAAAAAACCATTCTGTCTCTAACTCATCCTGGAAACCAAGCAATCCCTGAAACCAGAGCCAAACAGTTTTAAAAGGCCAATAAAAGAAACATACCCTGGACCCTGAAACCAGAGGGTGGAAAAAAACAGTGAAAGAAATACATTTTGCCCTGAAATAAGAGCCAAAGACACATTCTACCCCTGACCAACTCAACATGAAAAATTAACCAATCCCTGAGCAGGAAAACCAACCAATCCCTGAGCATGAAATCAAGCCAATCTCTGAGCTTGTCCAAGCACAGGAATTGAAATCTGATCAAGTCCAATCCTGAAAATCTTCTCCTTGGAACTTTACCTCTAAATAACTCTATATAAGCCCTGTACCTGTTCTGTTGGGAGCTGCCTTTTCCCACCCTGGTAGAGGCAGCCACTCTCCTGGATTCTTTCCTCACAATAAGTCCTTTGAGTGAGGATTGGGTGTCAACCTTCTTTCTATAGAGTGAGGCAATGCAGAGAAATAACTTTTCCCAGAGTAGGAACAAACCTGTTATACCTCTGATGGAAAATTCCCTTAGCAGAGGGGAGAAGAGAAGTAACAACATTCTCTGGTTCAAAGGCAGAACTGCTACATTCCTGCACTAAACCATCCCCACCAGAACAGAGCTATAACACCTTAAAAACAAATAAATATTTCAATTTAGATCAAGTTTTACAAATACGTGAACAAAGGAGGACCAATAACAAACAATTCCTCTTGTTGAAAAGGGGAGAGAATTGGGACACACAGTAAACAGTCCAGGTTTACAGTTGCTTTAAGGGCATGAACCTAAGCATCTCAAAGCATGTTGTAGATAGGCAAGGTGACACACTGGGCTCATATGTACTCTGTAAAGCCGAACAGATTTTCTGGTAAATACACAGGCTTGTCACCTCTCCTCTGAGGCACAATTGCTGTCATGAATACAAAGCTGTTGAGATTTCAACCTCAGGTCATTGATATATATATTCTCTGCTGTTAGCATTAACCTTGGCGCCATCCTGGACAACCAAGAAGATCAGCAGGTCATTTGAGGTGGGCCAATGATGTTCCCATTTCCCCAGCACTACTTCTTCAACACCAGTCATGTAGGAAGCCGGTTCCTGCATTATAATGTTGCCTGAAGACACCAAGGTGTGAATTACTTCACAGGCGCTGGGTAATCTCCATTCCTTTGATCTCTGCCTATCCCGTGGCTCATTTTTGCCTGAGGAGCTGAAGTCATTCATTACTGTAACACGTCCCAGGCGGCTGGTCAGCCTTTATATAGGGATGGTTTTCTTGGGTCAATGTCTCCATTCTGGTAAAATGCATTAAAGCTTGTCTGCAGAAGGATCCGAGTGTCCTGCGTGTATTTCTTGCTAGCGAGGAATACAGAGCGGGCGCGGGACACAGTCACATTTAAGTCAGTCAGGCAAAGTTTCCTCAGTCTGAAGCCAGGAATCACAGATTCAGAGCAGAATTCCAATTCAGGCATCATTTACAGAGGTTATAAGAAGTTCACCCTTTGGTTTTCTGAGATGTCAACATTTAAGAAGGGTTTCTTTATCCTTTCTCCTAGTGATAGATTTTAGAAGATGAGAAAGTTATTTGGCAAATCAAATACTTTTGGTCAAATCTTAAAATGTGAAAATTAGAAACTGTAAACATAGCCCATTTATACTGCAGTGTTCCCTGACACATATGCTTTTAATTTCTCTTCCAGGAGGCTGAAACATCAGCACTGTAAGTGCCGGCCTTATTCAGAGTTTGTAGAGATGAATGACCACACTTAGGGATTTGTTTTGTTTGCATTTATTTAACGAGATTACTGAGACATGATTTACTAGGTAGCTCTATGAGAAATTTTAGACTTGTTTTTACTTCATGGGATATGCCAATTGTGAGATAAGCATGAATTGCTAATGAACTAAGTAAAAGTGTGTTGCATGCTTACGATATACCAAACAATGCCTCATGTGTTGAATGCTAATGGGTTCGCTTAAAAAAATAGTGCTGAGGATATGGCTCAGTTGGTTAAGTGCTTGCTGGAAAAGCACAAGTACCTGAATTCTATCCTCAGAACTTATGTGGGGAAAAAAAAGAGGTCAGACAGAGTATAGTGCATGTGTGTAAACACAGGGCTAATGTGGGAGAACAGGAAGATCTCTGGGGAGATGCTGTCTCAATAAAAAGGTGGATGGTGTATGAGAAATGACTCCTGATGACTGTCTGCACAGACATGAACTTGTACATGCACATTCAAACATACACTTGCACACAAACACACATATTCATGCAGACATAATATCACCATACACAGCTTATATTCAGAAAGAAAGGGTAAAACCTCAGGAAATAATTCTTCTATGGGTCTTAATAGAATGAACAAAAATTTGACATATGTGGCAAGATAGGAGGAATACTTAAAATTTTTTTAACATCCAATGATTGTAGAAGTTGGGGCACTCATATGAGGACTCCCTAGGCTAGAATGAACTGAAATAGCTATATCAATTTGTATTATCTTTTCATAGTGTGAATTTTTCTATCTTTGAAAATGAGGATATTTTCATGATTATGATATCATTGAAATTTTATTTATTTTATTTTTTGTAATTTTTTTATTAGTTCAAATTAGGAACAAGCTTGCTTCACATTTAATCCCGTCTCCTTCTCCCTCCCCTCCCTCAACCCTCCCCCCAACCTCCCACCTGCCCCACCCTCCACTCCCCATGCTGGGTTGGGCCCTCGAAGGGGACTCCCCAAAGTCCCCCACATCATCCCCCCCCCAGCATAGGCCCTCCCCCATGTGTTCAGGCTGAGGGGTGGGATGGGCTCTCTTTTTGTTATTTTATAAGAAAACCATAATTGAGTTCTTTTTATTGTGATTGGTTTTGTTTTGGACACCAGAATAATCAGAAATTTGAAGTTTCATCATAACTGGTGGCAACATTTCTTCACTTATATAGTTGAAGATGCTTTGCAAGGGACACAATATGCCTTATGGAAGAATTATACCTGTCTGGGAGCTACTGATGGTCAGGTATTATGTGTATAAGGCTTTTCTTTCTTTCTTTCTTTCTTTCTTTCTTTCTTTCTTCTGAGCAGATACACAAAGGTTGAATTTTTCAATCACCAGTCAACCCTAGGAAATCTCAAATTAAATCTCTGAATGTTGGAGAGATGACTGCCATGTGTGGCTGAAATCTGGGGAAAGAAGAATCTCCTCATATATGGAAGCAGGAGGTTTGTACCCAAAACTTACACCGGTGAAATGGTCAGTGTCCCTCATTATCAAAATACAATTATACAAAATATGTACTATATAGCAAAATTGAGTCATTCCTAAAAAACTTGTAAAATTTATACATTTTATCGATAAGGAGTGGCTCTTACTAGTATTATCTTGGTACAATATTTTTTATGCAATTTGTCATTTATACTAGAATATAAGTTATCACAAAATATTTGGCAGTTATTGGTATTTCAGTAGAAGACTGAAACAAATGTTTCTAAGACTAAGTCAAATGTTTTAGAACTACTTTAATAATTTTGCAGATATGATAGTTTCATTGCCTAGAAACAACATTTAATTTATAATTTAGTTAAGATCCATTTTGATTACTTTTACAGTCACTGTGATAAAATACCATGACAAACCTTTGATGCCCTTCTCCTATAATGAGATTGATGACTACCATGGTTACCATTCCTAGAGGCTTCATCCAGTAGCTGATAAAAGCAGAAACAGGCACCGACAGCTAAACACTGAGCCATACACTCCTGGAATCCAGTTGCAGAGAGGGAGGAGGGAAGCATAGGAGCCACGACGATGCTGGAGAAACCTGCAGAAACAGTTGACCTGACCTAGTGAGAGCACAGAGGAGACCTTAGTTGTAAACCTCCCGAACCAGCATCGAACAGAACCAAGCCATCAGAATGTGGGTGCCAGCCAGGAGGCCAAGAAAGTCTAAGGGACCTCTCACAGTGGAGCCAGTGTTTATCCCTAGAGCACAAATGGACTGTGGGAGCCCATTCCCTATGGAGGGATACTATTGCAGCCCAGGTACAGGAAGGAGGGCCTGGGCCCTCCCCCAAATGATATGATGGACTTTGACAGTCCCTGTGGAGGGGGGAGGGAGTTGTGGGTTTGGTGGTGAGCATGGGAGGATGGGGGGGGCAAGGGAATGGTGGGAAGGGTATGTAAATAAGAGTGCTTCTAAAATAAAAAAATACCATGACAAAAGCAACTACAGAAAGAAATGTTTTGTTTTGGTAGTTGAAAGATACAGCTCACTAGGACAGGTAAATTATGTTGGCAGGAGCTTGAGCTAATTGATGTCTACAGTGACTAAGCACAAAAGAATAAATGTGCTCATCTAGCTTCTTTCTTTTGCTGTAGTACTGGACCCAAACCCAGGGAAGGGATGTCCTCTTTTTGGGTAGGTCTTCCCTCTTCAGTGAACCTAATAATCCCTCACAGGTATGCCAGAGGCTAGTGTAATCTAAATAATCCCTCATAGCAGTACCTGGAGACTTGTTTTTTAGATTTGTCTAGAGCCTGATGTTGACAAACAACATTAATTATCACAAGGCACATTTCAATTCACTGAAAAATATATTTATTGAGAAATATTTCTCTTAGCACACTTCATAAAACAGTCAATTGGATTTCTAATGGACTCTATATCTATAGAACACTGTCGTGGATTTAGTAGAGTTTTAGGCATAGGACTTATAAAGCTCTGCTGAAGCCCATTGAAAACTTCTTTCCACATACATTCATCCTTTCAAATCATGGTAAAGTAGACATTTTTTCCTGCAAGCATACTGCATTGAGATTAATACACTGTAACTCCTTATTTCTGGTTTTGCAATTTGTATTTTAGCACAATACATCTATGTTGTTAATATAATACCTATTAATATATATAGGTATTTGTTATATATCAACAGCTAATAAATAAATTTATCAATTAGTGTTTCGTATGCTGTCTTTCAATTTCATTTTATTTCAGTGGAATTTTGTGTTCCCCTAAGAATAGGTAGAATCTACTTATTTACACTTTGGATGTTAATTTGGACTTCTTTTTGCCAAAGTGTAACTAGAAAATATGATACAAGCAGAGCAGAGTGATGTTTTCTTTGTCACTGCTTTTAGAAGCCTCATAGCTACCACCTTGTAAACAAGCCCAAACTATCTTGTTGTTGGTGTGGAGGTTGGATGACAACTCTTAGAAACCAGTTGAATTTGGGTTCCATTATGTGCTTCAGAGATCAAACTCAGGTTGTCTGTCTTGCATAGTAATTGCTTTATCTGCTGAGTTTTCTCACTGGCTCCCGAATTCTCCTATAAATCCTTTAGCAACATATTAAATTATTTTGTTAATGATCAAAGAAGTCATACTGTAAGTTTTTAGCAAGGAAAGCTCCATAGTACTGGTACAAATATGGATGGATAGATGATAGATAAATAGTATATAGATAGTTGGTAGGTAGATAGGTGATTGATAGATAACGCCAGTGAACAAATAGAAAGTCAAGAAATAAATCAATTTCTCTATTAATCTCAGACAAACCTATCAAGAACAGAAAATCAATATGGTAAAAGACAATAAAATAAATATAGCTGAAAAATCTGATGTTTTCCTGTCCATGAATAAAACTACCTCACAATATATAAAAATAAAATTATAATAGATTAAAGGATTAAATGTAAGACCTGAAACTAAACTACTAGAAAAATATGCAAGGAAAATTTGCTTATTGAAATTGGTCTGGATAATCCTGGTTGGGGATAAAGCCCTAGATACATAGGCAATAACAGTAAAAGTGGATACATGAAGTTGCCTCAAATAAAACTTCTGAATGTACAACAAAGAACCCCCCCAAAAAAACCAAAGAATATATAGAATTGGATAAAGTATTTGCAACCTATCCCATTTACCAAGGATTATATACAAAATCCATGAGAAATATAAACATCTCAATAACAGGAAAATTAATTAAAAATGGACATAGCACCAAATAGACTTTTTAAAAGGCCAATTGACCAGCAGATATATGATAAAATGCTCAAAATCACTAATCATCAGAGAAGTACAAATCAAAGCCAAAATAAGATAGTATTAGGACAACTATATGAAGCATACAGGATGATAATTACTGTCAAAGAGGTTGGGAGGATGAGTGTGCTTTTTTAAAAGCTGTATATTTTTATTGGAATGTGTATTACTGTAACTGTTACAGAAAATTGTGGATAATTATAAAAAAACTTTTAAAACTAAACTACTTCATTACCCAAAAAACTTCACTTCAGAAAAAAAACATGAACTCAACGATTGAAGGAGATATTGGTACTCCTATACTAACTTTAAAATTATTCACAAAAGCAAAGATAGGGACCTAGTCCAATGTGGTCTTTTGAAAGAAAATGGCCCCCGTAGAGAATGAATTAAGCAGTATGTCTTTGTTGCAGTAGATATGCCCTTTTTTGAGGATGTGTTTCACTGTGGGGGTTGGCGTTGAGGTTTCCTATGCTCAAGCTAAAACCAGGGACACAGTACATGTTATGCTACCTACAGATCAAGATGAAGAACTCTCTTCTTCTCCAGCACCATGTCTGCCTGCAGGCCACCATGTCCTGTCATGATGATAATGGACTAAATTTCAACAATTATAAATGCCTAAATTAGATGATTTCTTTTATAAAAGTTGCTAAGGTTATGATGTCTTTTCACATCAATTGAAACCTTAATTAAGACACTAGGCTTCCTTCAACAGACACGTGGATGAATACAACATGGCCTATATAGGAATACTATTTAGCCTCAACAAAAATAAATAATCCTGTCATTTGTAACAATATAGATGAATTCAAAGCAAGTGCAATAAACCAAACACAGAGAAACACAATCGCATTATCCCACTTAAGTATGGGGAACTAGTTGGCTACCAAAGAGCAGAAGGGGAGAGGGAGTGTGAGAAGTTAAAGAGTATGAGGTTTATGCATAAATTCTGAAGATTCCCTGTTGCATTATGCAGACTCTAAGTACATATATATTATAACCTTGAAATCAGCTGAGAGATAGCTTAAATGCTCTTTTAATGAAAAGAAATAAGCAATTAGGGCATTAACATTTTAATTAGCTTGATTTAATAATTGTGTGATATGTGCATGTATCAAGTCACATTGTTCCTTATAATGTATGATTTTCTTTGACATGTCAAGGGTAAAGCTCAGTAAAAATGTAAACACATGGTCTTTGCTAGCCATCTGCCATGGCGGGTGGGTGAAAGACCCGAGCTAACATGGGTTTAGCTTGTTAAACAACAATAAAGCCTCATGCTGTTTGCAGCAAGCTTTTGAGTCTGCCTGGTGATTGGGGTGAGCTTGGTCATGGGCTTAGACCCCGGAGGCCTGAGTTTTCCGGGGATCTAACATTTGGGGGCTCGTCCTAGATTTGTGACCACCCCTCACCTGAGTGGATTCGATCTTGGAGGTCAGATGATTTGAGCTTGCAACTTATATGTACAATGTTCTGTATGTCTCTTGCTGTTTTGTTGGTTTGGTGCCATGACTTGAATTTGATCTGTGCCGGCACAGGACTTGTACTTGTTATTTGGATTTGTAATTTGGACCTCAGGGGGAAACAGACATGTTCAGAAACCCTGAAGTCCCACCCTGGATGGAAGTCCAAGTGTCATTTGATTTGGACCATAGGGAAAGCAGATGTGCCCAGAAACAGACGTGTTTCTGGAACCCTTGGTTCCACCCTGGACGAAAGTCCAAGGGTTGTTTGTAATTTTGGTTTGGTGCCATGTCTATGTCTGTAATTTGGTCTGCCGAGCGGTTTGTCCTGTCTCTTGTGTCTGTCCTGTTTTTGCTGTTTGTGTCTGTCTCCATACTAACCACCCCCATCCCCGGATTCCACCTCAACTGTGATCTGCAGATATGCCCGGAGGATCACAGACTGCTGCCCTGAGGACACCCAGGAGGTATGAACGGAGGCCAAGGAACCTTGGACTCTCTTCGGCTGCGATTGTAGCTGCCTGGTTCTGCCATCCTTCTTCCTGGCACCATTGCCTTAGAAGCGGCACGGGCGAATTGGGTTGGTGTCTGTTCTTTCCTGTCTATTCTGTCTCTGTGTTTTCATCACTGGTTTTCGATTCAGGATCCACCATGACACCCACTTTTGTTGAGTCATGTGGCACCACTTTCTTTTCCAGTCTTTGTTTCTGTATGGTTTCTGTAAGCCTGCAGGATTGGAATGGGCTGGGTGACTGGGCATTTGAGCAGCAGGTTTGTTATCTATGTTATCTGATCTGTTGCAGTCCACGCCCTCACTGCCTGCTTTTCGGTGGTGTGTCAGTTTTACTATTTCTGTTAATTTGGTAAATGTAAAGGTCCTATATTAGGATTTCTAGCGACATCTGTAAGTAGGCCTACAAGAATTGTTTAGGGCGGAGGTTCAGGCAGCAGCCTTCCGAAATCTGTAGGGGAGACTTAGTTTCGGAACAATCAGAAGTTAGCTGGCGGTACTATGCTTTATGGCTCTGGGTGTGCTTTACGGACAAGTGCACAGCAATGACATGCAGAGCACAGCAACCACCCTGGGAGGGCCTATGGGCCAAAACAACCAATTGGCCAATAAACACAGGGCAAGCCCTCCAATCCTGGAAGCACACCAATCCTGAGCCTGTGCGTACCCCTAGACACTGCCTTATGCTGCCCTACAAGATCTCTCTGCAGCTAGTTCGAGATGTCTTTGCT